TAATGTAAGAGGTTAGCAGAGTGGCTCCTGCATGGACATAGTGACTAGGAGGGTCCAAGAGGGATCCTACGAATTAATTTCTGACCAAGGCCCTAGTCATATTTTTACTTAAAAAAATTCATTGAGCTATATATGGATGATCTCTTCACTTTTCTGTATACATGTTATACTTCAACAGAGAGTTTATAAAAAATTATATATAATTAGATATTCCATAAAGGCAGTGATTTAAAAAAATAAAAAATTTTAAGGGCACTTGGGTGGCTCAGTTGGTTAAGTGTCTGATTCCTGATTTCAGCTCAGGTCATGATCTCAGCCATCTTTGGATGGAACCCTGCATCAGGCTCTGTGCTCGGTGTGGAGCCTGCTTAAGATTCTCTCTCTACCTCTCCATCTGCCCCTCCTACATTCAATGTGGGGTTTGAACTTACAACCCCAAGATCAAGAGTTGCATGCTCCACTGACTGAGCTGGCCAGGTGCCCCTGAGCAATATTATATGTATATATTAGATATATATATATCTAAAAATACATATATATAATAAATATATACATATATAAATATATATCATGTTTTGTCTATCTGTTCATCTGTTGATGGACATTTAGGTTGCTTCCACCTCTTGGCTATTGTGAACAATGCTATAGTGAATATGAGTGTACCAATATCTCTTCAAGATCCTGCTTTCAATTATTTTGGATATATATCCACAAGTGGCATTGCTGGATTATATATATATATATATTTTTTTTTACAGTGGGCTCCACACCCAGTGTGGAGCTTGAACTCACAACCCTGAGATCAATAGTTGCATGCTCTACCAACTGAGTCAGCCAGGCGCCCCATGATAATTCTTTTTTTTTATGTTTGGAACTGTCAAACTGTTTTCCACAGTGTGCTACCGTTCCCACTGATACACAACAGTTCCAATTTCTCCATATTCTTGCCATTTGTTATTTTCTATTTTGTTTTGATAGTAGTCATCCTAATGAGTGTGAAGAAAGGAAGAGATTTTTATATGCTTTTTTACTGTTGCCTCCACAGAGCCTAGATCAGTCTCTGGTATATAGTAGCCACTCATTAAATATTAGTTGTAGAAGTGAATGAATGAGTTGAGATCCTGTATAGGGTTGTGTAGTGGGCTGAATAGTGGCTCTCCTAAAGATGTGTCCATATCCTAATCCCCAGAACCTATGAATATTACCATATTTGGGAAAAGGGTCTTTGTAGATGTAATTAATTAAGGATCTTGAGATGAGAAGATCATCCTAAATTATCGAGATGGGCCCTAAATCCAATGACAAGTATCCTTATAAGAGACACACACAGGAGAAGACAACATAGAGGAGAGGGCAATGTGATGACAAAGGAAGACACTGGAGTGATGTAGCCACAAGCTAAGAAGGCCAAAGAATGCCAACTTCCATCAGAAGCTAGAACAGGAGGGATTCTCCCCTAGAGTTTCCAGAGGGAATGAGCCCTGCTGACACTCTGATTTTAGACCTCTTGTCTCCAGAAGCGTGACAGAATAAATTTCCGTCGGTTTTTGTTTTTGCCACTGAGTTTATGTTAATTTGTTACAGCAGTTACAGGAAACTTAGGAAGGCCAGTTGTCTTTTAACTCTATTACTGTTTTTTTTTCTTTTTAAAAAATATTTTATTTATTTATTTGTTTTCTGTTTTTTTTTTTTTTAAAGATTTTACTTATTTATTTGATGGACAGAGATCACAAGATTTTATTTATTTATTTGTTTTTATTTTTTTAAGATTTTATTTATTTATTTGACAGAGATGACAAGTAGGCAGAGAGGCAGGCAGAGAGAGAGGGGGAGGCAGGCTCCCTGCTGAGCAGAGTGCCCCGATCATGACCTGAGCCAAAGGCAGAGGCTTTAACCCACTGAGCCACCCAGGTGCCCCTCTATTACTGTTTTCATAATATCTTATCTATGCACAGGAGAAAACTTTTGTTTCTCTACTGTAGAAATCTGAGAGCTAGGGCATGCGTCCAACTCATCTAACAGAAAGTTCAAGTTCTCTGCCTTTAAATTGGTGATCTCCTTTCAAGATTGGGTCTTGTCCTTCATGTTGATATCAAGGCCATTTCCTATATTCGTGGGGCTTCCCTGTGGAGGCCACCAGGAACTCAGCCAACAGCTAAGGTGGCTAACCCTGGGCTCCTAGATCAAGGATCCCTAAACATTTTCCTGTAGAGCCTTCCAAGGAGTGTTGGGATTTTTATATTTGTAAGTTGACCTATCCCTCACAAGGAAGTTGCTACCCTGTGGAGCTTCCTTCTTACCTAAAACCCTCCCAGTTGTGTTTATTCCAAACCCTCAAGATCAACCTTCTTCACAGGCCACATAGTACCTTATATCTTAGGTAAGATCCTGATATCTATAATCAGGGAATTGCTTTGTTCCATGCAGACTGAAAGTGTAAGAAGATCTCTGACAAACGAAAAAATGTTGATGTGTCAAATAGCGTAGACGAGGTCCCGTGATACTCGGGGAAGGTCAGACAGCTGGTAAGATAGATCTTACTGGGGCAGCATTCATCCTTGCAATTGAGTGCTCATAGATATCCATTGTATATGGTAGACTGATGCCTCCCCTAAGCTTCCTTTATTGGATCCTTTTTACAGCTGTGCATGCTGGCTAGCTGCTAAATGAGATATATATACAAAACATGGCTCTCTGGCCTCAAGGTGGAATCAGCTCTATGATATAATCCATGTCCCAAGTCTCTCCATAGGATCAGGCTGAAGCTTGACTCCAGATAAGACCACATCCTGGCTTAGCTCCCTTCCCTATTCTGTTCTGCTTCCTTTATTGCCTTTCTCCAGAAAGCATTCTCCTAAAAACTTATGTGCTCAAATTATGCTTCAGTCTCTGCTTGTCAGGAAACTGACCTAAGACAACACATGAGTAAAAGCTAAAAAACTATAGAACCATCCATGTCCCTGACCTGGAGACAAAGCAAAGATATAGAAAATGAGGACATGAAATCAGAGAGAGCAAAGGGTCACACAGAGAGAATGCCTTTCTTGAGTGGGGAAAAAAAAAAAAAAAAGAGCAGAGGTAACGTCAAACTATCCTAGTGGATACAAACCTCCTTGGGCATGTAGTTAGAGCAGTTCCAGGAATTCTTTGCCACAGACATTAAAATTTCCAGGTGGTAGTGGTTCAATTTTGCTGTGGGGAATAAAGGAAAAGGTTGGTTCCACTTCTGGCCTAGAGGAGTAGGGCGAACAGTATCTCCTGTAGCCAGGTCATGGTTTCATGGAACCACCTCCATCTGACTGGGTCCTTGCCAGACAGTAGGGCCATGTCTTCCATTTCCCTACCTCATCCTACACAGTCCTTGTAGGATACTGTAGCCAAAACCACCTGCAAACCAGAATGCCAGTGGTAGGGCCTAGACCAAACAATACATTTCACACAGGAATAGGAAGGATGTGTGGGTGTAGAGCTGGGGTGAGGCTGGAGGCTGGGGTGCTGCTAAGCTTCATGAGGCTTGACGTGGTTGCCCAGGAAGGTAGGTCAGGACCTGGGCATGAGGGTGGGGGTATATCCTAGAATCAGAATTCTGTGTTCTATGGTAAAGCTGAAAGTCTCCACAGGTATATGAGGGGATTTCTTTGTTTTCCAGGGAGTGTAGAGTGCTCAGACTCTGAGGTGGCTGCCACAGGAATATTCCTCACAACAGAAGGATTGTGTCAGACAATGTTCTGGTTATCTATTGCTGGGTGGCAAACTGCTCTAAAACTTATAGGCTTAAACCAGCACCCAAGTTATCATTTCTTAGGATTTTGGAAAAGGCACAGTAGGAAAGACTTACCTCTGTTTTAGGTAATGAGGAACAGCTCAGATGGCTTCTCCCCTCAATGACTGGTCCCTCAGCAGGGACTCATCAGGGTTCACCTGGGTTCATCAGGGTTCATGTGTCTGGGACCTCAGTTCTTGGTGATAACTGGGTCCTTACTTTTCCTCCATGTAGTCTCAGGGCTTTTGCCTCTCCAGGTGGTGGTCTCTGTGTGCCATCTTTCTACAGCAAGGTGAGAGAGGGGGAGTAGCTCAGAATTATAATGAGCTTGAAATCAAGGTTACCAGGTATTCTCAAAGCTCATCTCTGTAACTGGCACAGTCACTTCTGCACATTCTTCCATTGGTTAAATCAAGTCACAGGTCCAGTCCAGGTTCCAGGGTCGACGACCACATAAGGTTATACTGTGAGGAGGCAAGTTTCAGGGGGGCCACCAAAGTAACAAACTACCTGACAAGAACGGCTCTAGGAGCAGACGTGTGTGGGCCGAGGGTGCTCCAATTCCTAATTTTATGCTGGCTTCTCTTCAGAGAGGTTTGAGAACAAAGAGTGGGGGTGTAAGGTAGCCCCGCGCTTCCTCCACATTATTAAAGGTGGGGGGTCTGGTCGGCCACTGGATCAGCCTGAATCAAGAAAGGCCGGGCTCTGTGTGTCTTCACTCGGTCTAGAGGCATTTATTGCGCATAGCCTATGCACTGGTTTCTTAACACACGTGTTACTTCGTTATCCCTACTTTACGGAGGAGAAAGCGGAGGCTGCAACACAGCACTCCTTCAACAGTCCGCACACCACCGTACACACCACGACGAAGACTCCTAGGCCCTTTCTACCCCGCAGGTAGAGTCGGGGCAGAGCCGGGGTTTCCGGGAGGGCAGTGCTCAACACGGTCGCCCACCAAGCAGAGCGGATGGCTCCCAGGGAGCCAACGGGAAGAGGACGCCTCAGAGATGCTAACCTGTCACCGCCGGGCTGCGCGAAGGGCAGGCAAAACTGGAGCGCCTTGACCCCGAGGCGGGAGGGGTCTCAACCTGCACAGGTCGGGCCCAAGACCCGCCTCCAGGGCACCGGGTGCAGGAGGAGGGCCCGCGCGCCGCGCCCCGCCCACGCACGCACGCATCGCCCCGCCAGCCGCGCAGTTCTGGCCCCGCCCTCAGGATTGACCGCCGGAGCCACCGTCCGCACAGCCCCGCCCCGCACGGCCAGGCAAAGCGGAGCCGGCCGTGCGGTGTGTGTGTATGTGTTCGCGGGGCGCCGTCTCAGCCCCGGGAAGATGGTGGCGGTGGCGGCGGCGACTCAGGCGAGGCTGAGGAGGAGAACGGCGGCGACGACAGCGCCTGCGGGCAGGAACGGCGGGCAGCGCCGGGGCTGGGACGCGACCGGGGCTGGGAGGCCGGGGCTGGGGGCCGGGCTGCGCCTCCCGCGGCGGCTGCTGCTGCTGCTTCTGCTGCTCCCGCCGCTGCTGCTGCTGCCCTGGGCGGCCGAGGCCGCGGCGGCGGCGGCGGCGGTGTCGGGCTCAGCCGCAGCCGAGGCCAAGGAATGTGACCGACCCTGTGTCAACGGCGGCCGCTGCAACCCTGGCACCGGCCAGTGCGTCTGCCCCGCTGGCTGGGTGGGCGAGCAATGCCAGCACTGCGGGGGCCGCTTCAGGTGAGTGGGGGGTGGTGTTGGAGGGTCGGGCCCAGAAGGAGGCTGAGGCTATGGGGCGCGCGAGATGGTTCCAGGCCGGAGGCAGATGCCGGACAGAAAGTGGGGAGGGTAGGGCCGTCCCACGGTGTTTGAGGACCATTTGCTCCCGAGGAGATCATTGTCTCTGGCCAAGGGTCCTCTTGTACCGGAAGATGAACAGATTCGAGGCAAGGGTGGAGGCACCCCAGAGAGGTTTGGGTGCGGCGGGTACAGGAGAAGAAAGCTCAGGGTCCCAAAGAGTATCAAAGCCAGTCCCTGAAACTGGGCCTCTTTCGGATAAACGAGGTATACAGGGAAAGATGAGAGAGCTAGTCTTACTTAAACACTTCCTTTTAACATCCCCTTGTTCCCTAGGGCCTGATGAACTACCCAACTCGTTGGAGATTTAGGGTACTCAGAAGAAACAGGGCCCTGGAAGTGATTTGTTGGCTCAAGATAGAGGGGAGAGGTTAGGTCAGAGATAGAAGAAGGAGTGGTTGTTGGATAGAGGAAAGTGAGGAAACTAGCCTTTTGAAGCTCACTAGAGGCAGCTGATTGGAACAGGGTGGAGAGGGCATGGAAGGAGGTTCTTGTTTGCCCTGGTTTCTGGAGAATATGGGGTTATGAGTTGGCCTGGTTTGGGACAGTACCTCCTGGAGAGATCATCAAATCATTCATTAATAGTTATCTGTTATTTGCTTTAATTGTGGAAGGATTTCCAGGTAATACACATGAACAAATAGATTAGCCAGACTTTGGCCTAGTCCACATGGAGTTTGGAATACAGCAAGAGAAAGATAGGTACACAAGTGACCCTAGTCATAAGGACTACAGAGTCATTCATGCCTTTGGCAGATTTTACAAAAGACTTTTGATGTTAGCTGTGGAGGAGTGGGGAAATACCGAGACCCAGACAGACAGGGTCCCTCCTCTTAGAGATTTTACATTCTAGCAGGGGGGACAGAGGCAGTTGATTGGTAAATAAGCAAATAAATAAAGAAATAAATGAACAAGATAATTTCAGATAACAATGCTGTCAAGAAAGTAAAACAGGACACCCTGATAGAGAATTGTAACTAGTGAGTTTCTCCTAAAGTTTTAGGAGAAACCTCTCATTTGAAGTGACATCTGATCTGAGCTGAATGAGACCATGGAGAACCTGTGGGAATTCAGGGAGGGAGGTTGTGACTAGCCGTGGGAATGCAAGGAAGACTTCCAGGAGAAAGTGACATTGGATTTGAGCATTTGAAGCAAGTAGGCTTTGGAACTATGTAGCTGGGGAAGAAATTCCAGATGGGAGGAAGGTTGCAAACAAAACTGTGGAGGTTTGGAATGGTAGAATTGTAGATGCATATAATGTCAGTTTTTCAGGGGAAGAACTCAGAGGACATTGAGGAGCTGAGCACTTTATTGTTATGGAGAAACCAGGCGCTTTCAAGACCAGTGTGTAGTGCATCTTGGGATGTAATTTACTTAGGGTATTGTGATTTATGAATTACATTAGCCTACATATATTTGTCGAGGGCTACTCTGGAGTAAATTGTGAGATACAGTGGCAAACAAGACCGACACAGTCCTACTCTCATGGAGCTTGTATTCTAGCTTGGGAGTAAGAAATCTAATAATCAATTTATTAGTATTTTGCTTGAGTCTGTGGAGGCAAAGGACAGGGGCAAACAGAGGACTTGACTTAGTTTAGAATGTTAAGACTAATGGCTGAGTAAGTGACCTTTGAGTTGGGATCTGAGGGGTAGGATAGCACTACCTACGTGAGGGGTGGGGTGCTAAGAGGCCAGCATGTACAGAGGCTTGGGGATGAGGGGTATCATGGCAAGCTGAAGAGAAGGCTGGATAGCTGAGGCAGAGAGCAAACGAGAGCATGGCAAGACTGGAGAGATGGGGGGTGGCCAGGCCATGTGAAGTCCTGTAGGTTGGGTTGAGAATTTTGACCTTTAGCTCTTGAGCAGTAGAATGGCACAGTTAACTTGCATTTTCATGACATTACAGGCTTTTAGATGGGAGCCAGAGCAGGAACGGCCTTGAAGTTAAGGCTGCCAGAGCATTTTTAATTTGAGGTGCTTCTAGAAGCAAGTGAATAGTTGGTTGTGTCAGATGAGAACCCTTTAAGTTCTGAGAAGGCAGTGGGGGCCCAGAGGGTGTAGAGGGACATGCATAACAAGATCAGTCCGTACTATCCAGAGTAGGTGGACTCATTGTAAGTATGAGAGGTGGTGGGCAACTGGGTGGGAGGTGTTGGGCAGGGTCCGGACGGCAGTAATGAGAACCTAGGATAGGCTGTGGGGATGGAGGCAGGGTGCGTCCTAGCTGGTATTGCAGAGGTAAAAGACAGGTCTTGCTTTGAAACTGGTTTGTTCTTGGAAGGGAGAGGGTTGGTGAGGGAAAGAAAACTAGATCCTATCTTGGGTGGCTGAGGGGATAGTAATACCATTAACAGACACAGGGACACAGGAGAAGCAGGTTTTCTACATGGAGATTAGGTGCTCTCAGGGTATCCACTTGGCAGGACAGGCGTAAGTGTCGGAGGTCATCTGGATATAGAGGGACACAGCCAGGGAGAAAGAGCAGGTCTCTCTCATCCAGAAGATCGGAGAAGAGCCACTTGTGGGGAATAAGCAGTCCTGACACTGGTTGTCTCAGATGGAGTCATGCGTGAGTGAAGGGGCTCCCCTGGTTATTGTGGATGCTCCATTTAAGCGGGTTCAAGCTGGTGGCGGTGCTGTCTCCTGGGCAAACAGTTATGACTTTGGTCCTGATGATTCTGGTATATTTTGTGGGCTTCTGGAATTTGCATTTTTTAAAATGAATGTAAGAGGAACTTAACGTCTCTGGCCTTTTAAAAAAACTTTCCTTAAATTGTTAGTGGAAGGATTATTTTAGGGAAAGACTGAAATGTTGGTTTTGATTATAGTGGTATGTATCTTCATTTAACTCACAGACCTCTTTGTTATTAAACGAAGAGACATTCAAATGAATGCCTTTCTGGTATGGAATGGCATCAAGGCAGTGTGTTTTTAAATCTTTTTAGTTCCATAAATTCTGTGTTATAATTGTTGTTAGAAGGTCTTTCCTAGTAATTGAAAGGAATGTAGGATAATAAGAGGATTAGATGACCCCCAAGTTATCACTGAATGCATAGCATATGCTGGGGATCTGGTCAAACATTTTCATACACATCATACCATGTAATCTTCTGACTCTGGGGGTGTTGTATGAAATTTGTATTAGCATATGGTTGCAGGTAGAAAATCACTTAACTTTTTTTCCAAATGAAAGATACTCCAGAAATGATTACCACATGGGACAATATTATTGGTGTCAGTTTAGTAAAAATAACTGTGGAATCTTTGGAAGACGATTTCTTTTTTTTTTTTTTTTTTTTTTTTTTTTTTTTTAAGATTTTTTATTTATTTATTTGTCAGAGACAGAGGGAGAGAGAGCGAGCACAGGCAGACAGAGGCAGAGGGAGAAGCAGGCTCCCCGCCGAGCAAGGAGCCCGATGTGGGACTCGATCCCAGGATGCTGGGATCATGACCTGAGCCGAAGGCAGCTGCTTAACCAACTGAGCCACCCAGGCGTCCCTGGAAGACGATTTCTAAAGCAGCCAGTTTCATTCAGTTTTATCTTACCGTTCATAATTCAGTGATCATTCTTTTCTTCTGGTGACATCACCATGGAAATTTTTCTTCAGATGATAAATACATCCCATCAAATTAGAAATAAAGATATTAAGTCCACTTATGAAATTAATATGCATTTAATTCTTCTGCGTTTCTGAAGTATGGAGAGGATAGACTAGAATAGCCTAGTGAATGGGAGCCTTATAATTACCCAGGATGTTAAGAACTTACCTTCTCTAGAATAAGGAAAGAAGTAGGCATTTACTGAGCATCTATTTTGTTCCCGGCATATGGAGTAATGGTAGTAGTAGTCCCAACACTAGCAGCCAACAACAGTTCTCCATTTTCTCCTAGGTGTTGTGTCAAGCGCCTTTTAGAAATTACTCCTTTTAATCCTTAGAGTGAAGTTATTCCCATTTCACAGGTGGGTGAACTGAAGCTTGGAGATACTGAGTAACTTGCACCAGCTCACACAACTTGTGAAAAACTGGTCTGGGATTTGAATTCAGGCCTTGTTAATTCCCACTCTCTTGCTTTCCATTGTACCATTTGGCCTCTCATTTTCTTTCTTTCTTTCTTAAAGATTTATTTATTTATTTGACAGAGAGACAGCGAGAGAGGGAATGCACACTGGGGGAGTGGGAGAGGGAGAAGCAGGCTTCCTGCCGAGTAGGGAGCTGGCTGCAGGGCTCCATCCCAGGACCCTGGGATCATAACCTGAGCCCAAGGCAGCTGCTTAACCGGCCGAGCCTCCCAGGCACCCCGAGCCTCTCATTTTTTGAGTCCAGTCACCCTACATGAAATTCTTTGGAAGGGCTGCCTAATGCCATTGAGAAACAGACAAAGAAGGAAAAATAGGTTTATTACAACAGTAAAGCCAGGATTAAAAAAAAAGAAAAACAAAACAAAACTTAACTCACTCAAACCTGTTTGGCTACTGGTCAAGGACATAAATACCTATAACTAGTGAAATGAAAATTCTGGAAAATAAAATTTGAAAGAAGAAAAAGGTAAAAAAACCCCAAACAAACAGGGTGTTTATATTTACTAGTAAGTAGTATTTACCTAAAGCCCTAAATTCATGTTCATGAATCAACTAGGCTTGTCTGTTTTCTCTAGTAGAATATAAGCTCCATGAGGGCAGGGATTTCTGTCAGTTTTGCTTGTTGTTCTATTCCCAGAGCCTAGAACAGTGCCTAGGACATGGTGTGCAATAAATATTTGTTGGATGAAAGAATGAAAAGTCATCTTTACCCATATAACTGCCCTATCTAGAATAAGGAAAATCTGCCATATCATAAATCTCATGTACTTCATTGTCTTCTGTTTGCTGGGCATCTTTTT